GCAGCCTGTGTCCGCATACGTCAGCACCCGCAGCCTGTGTCCACAAACGTCAGTGCCCCGAGCTCTGGCTGCTTCGTCAAAAGGTCAACACGCTAGATATCATAACACGCGTATTGAAATGACGTCTGCCCGACCCACGTTAGTCTAGCGACTTGTGCGTGCCTTGGACGAATAGTCCGGACGGCCCATCGCTGGGACGGAGAGCCAGTGTAAGGACGGCAGGCCGCGGTGTTGTACCAAGCGACACGGCTGGCTCCAACGCCGGGTGACCCCGCACCCTGCAGTGGCGCCACCTCTGTCACGTGCGCGCCGTCCGCCGCCGCCAGACTCGACCAGCCTGTACCTGGTGGACGCCGTCAGCGGCCACCTGGTGTACAGCCACGTGCAGCGGCGCGTGCGCTGTCCGTGCCACGCGGTCCACTCGAAGAACTGGCTGGTGTACTCGGTATACAACGAGCGCGCCCGGCGCACCGAGCTCACCAGCCTGGAGCTGTTCGAGGGCACCGTGCAGGCGAACGCCTCAGGTTAGCGGCAGGGGGCGGGTGGAGCAGGGGAGGCCACGCTGGGGGTCAGTGAGGGCTGTGCGCGGGTCGTGTTAGCTCACCGCGTGTTTGCAAGGCGAGGGGTTTGTGGTGAAGGCTGGGAGCACTGCGGCACTGGAGGCTGTGTAGCGCCCGGGGGTGGGCGTTGACGCTGGGTGTGGCCTGATGTTGGTCGTTCGCCCGGATGGTGGGACTGGGAGGCTTCCACTGCACCCAAGCCCATCGAGCCCGCCTTTTCTCCGCCTTATCCCCGTGTGGTAACGAGTTCAAGCCATCGCGACACAAACTCGCGGAGAGGACTGCGACGCGGCTGTGTTGCCCAACACTCGCACCCACGAGGCTGCGGTCAGGGGTCGAATCGCAGGCACCCCGAACTACGAAGGCGTGGGGCGCGGCCTGGCCGCCTGCCCGATCACACCCGCGCGATCGCCGCCGGGGGTGTGGCGCCGCTGGACCGTTCGCCGCGCCTGCCGCAGCGTTCTCGTCGCTGGAGGCGCCGCCGCAGCCCATGGTGGAGAAGCAGAGCTTCATCTTCCCCACGCAGATCGAGGCGATGCGCGAGACCATCACCGAGAAAGGCATCACCACCAAGTTCGTCTTGTGTGAGTTGGCTGCTGCTGTGGACTTCTGCCCGCCTCGGGGCTATCGCCCTTGTTCTTAATCAGATGAGTGGTAGGAGAATCGCCTCATTGAATGTGGTGTATTGACTGTGGAACCTGTCTCTTCCCATGTACACTTTTTGTGAGAAGGCGGCCTATAGGCCCTTCTCACATGGAAGATGGACGCCTATTGCCTCACGCCTATGGAAGGCGCCTATAGGCCGGCCTTTTCTACCTTGTCCGCGTGTTCTCATCGGGGCGTTGTCCTACTCGCAAATAGCTATCGTTGCCATATCGGATAGTATTGTCCTGTGCTGACGTTTCCAGTGGCAGCTGGAAAAGGTGACCTGTTTGAAATCCGATGCCAGATGCCGTACTCCATCCTGTCCTTACGTCACCTGATATCTTCACTTGAGCATGTCTGATCTGTATATATCCGTACTCGGTGTTTTTGTTTGCGTTAACTGGGTCATCGCGTGACGTAATAATCGTGACGCCATGACGTCTGTTCCTTTCAATCGCGATAGCCTGCTGTGGTCCTGTGTGATCCAATGACCGAATTACAGCTTTAACTCCGGTCGGTGACTGTCGTGCTCTCGGCCCCCCACGACTCCGCTTGCAGTGGTCCTGCTAACCACCTCCCCACGAACCATCTCTTGGTCAGTTTGGCCTCCCTCTGCGGATGGTTCTGTCGCTGTGGTTTCGCCGCGTATTACCCGTGCACCGGCCCGTTTGTCTTTTCCGTCTCCGCCGCGTCCGCGTCTGCCTGTGCGGCCCTCTGGACCGAGTCTGGTCAGGGGGGCGGCATCGCTTAGTGACGAGCCGCTCTCTGACGGCCACCGGTCGGCTCGGGGCCCTTCCCACCGGCCTTCCGCACCTCGCCGCCCCAGGTCTTTGTCTTTACTGGGACGGCGTGGCCCTTCGCATCGAGCCGTGCTCCCGGACTTCCCTCCCCACTCCCGGGGTTCCCCTGGCCTTCGGCCGCCCGCACCACGCCCCACCGCCTGGCTTCCCCCTGTCCCCGGGGACGGTCTCCTGGCTTCGGCCCCCTTACCACGCCTCGCTTCCCTGGCTTCCCCCCTCTCCCGGCGGCGGTCTGTCCTGCTTCGGCCCCTTACCACGCCTCGCTCCCTGGCTTCCCCCCTCTCCCGGGGGCGGTCTGTCCTGGCTTCGGCCCCGCGCCACGCCCCGCTTCCACTTCCCTCCCTCTTCCGGGAGACGGTCTCCTGGCTTCGGCCCCCTTACCACGCCTTGCTCCCTGGCTTTCCCCCTCCGGAGGGACGGCCTCTCCGCCGGTCCGCCCCGTCGCGTGCCCCCCCCCCCCCGTGACGCTCCTCCGCCGGTCCGGCAGTCGTGCTGCCCTCCGGCGGTGTGGTGGCGCTGAACCGGGCGCTGCTCGACCCGCGCCGGCCGCTGGCACCCGGTCGGTCGGCCATGGATGAGGGCCTGCCGCCGTACACGCCCGAGCTGCCGCTGCCCACCGTAGCCGTGGTCAACTATAACCAGACGCTGCTGGGCGTGCGCGGCGTGGTCACATCCCCCTCGGGCCTCGAGTCCACCTGCCTCGTGTTCGTGTACGGACTCGGTGAGTGGCAGGAGGCGGCAGCGGCGCAGCGCCGTGCTCAGACGTAGCTGTCGCTTCGGCTTACGTTGGATTAGTCGCGGCGTTTGCAAGCGATGTTTTCAAATTGGTTTTGTGTGAGGGTGTGGGTGTGCGTGCGTGCGTGTGATGTGGGCTGGTTCTGGTGTGCAGGCTGATGGTATTATTCAAGCCAAGTCGAGAGGTGAACATACCAAAAGACTGATGTTTGCAACGAAACGCTAACATTTCATTTACAAACCCATGGCAAGCGGCCCGCGGGACGTGGGCGGCGATGGGCATGCGTGCCGTGCTCGCGCTCTCGTGACGTCACTGCCGGCCTCCACTGGCGACCGCGCGCCGGTCCCGTCACCGAGCTGACGCTGCCCCCCCCTCCACCCGCCCCGCGCTCCGGCAGACCTGTACCACACGCGGGTATTCCCTTCAAACATGTTCGACCAGCTGAAGGACGACTTCGACTCGACGTTCATCGTGCTGGTGCTGGCCGGCCTGGTGGCCGCCTCGGCGATATCCCGGCGCCTGTCGCAGCGCCGCGCCCTCCAGCAGGCCTGGAAGTAGTCACCCGGACCGCCCGCGGGCGCCCTCCAGCAGGCCTGGAAGTAGTCACCCGGACCGCCCGCTGGCGCCGTCCAGCAGGCCTGGAAGGAGTCACCCGGACCGCCCGCGGGCGCCCTCCAGCAGGCCTGGAAGTGGTCACCCGGACCGCCCGCGGGCGCCCTCCAGCAGGCCTGGAAGTAGCCACCCAGGACGCCCTCCAGTCGGCCTGGAGGGAGTCGCCCTGCCGCCGGCTCGACCGGCGGCGGCGTGCTCTGCAGCAGACCTGGCTTAGTCACCGACTGCGTCACTGTGTCGAGGTCAGACGGCGGGGCAGCGTGCTGCCTGCCGGCGGGTCTGACGGTGAGTCGCCGCTCCGGGGCCGCGTCGGCGGTACCCCTCCGCTCCGACGCGTCCGGCTGTGGAGACCGGCTTTGGGACGAGTGTCACTCGGCGGCAGTGGACCCGGAGCGGGCGCCGACCGCGGGGCAGCGGCAGCGGCTGAGGAGCTCATCACGGCCAGATCAGAGCGCCGGGAGTCTGTGCTGAGCTGGGCTGGTGCTGAGCTGAGCTGATGCTGAGCTATGCCGGTGCTGAGCTGGGCCGGTGCTGCGGGCTCACAGCTCGCGCCAGGCCGGCGCGTTGGCGGAGTGCGGTGTCGTTGCGGGCGGAGTGGACGACCCGGCTGCTGGCCATACGACGCGTGGTGCCGGGGCCGGTCGAAATCCGGCCAACGGAATCGTGCCGGTTAGGGGTGAATGGTCTGGGATGGGGTAGTGAATGGGGCTCGTGTTGACCGACACTCATTGCTAGTTCATAGCGCGATTACGGTTGATTTTGCTCAAGTCATCCGGCGACGGCTTGGGCGTGAATGTGCGTATGTGTGTGTTACTAAGTTGCGAGGGTTGTGTCGTGATTTTCATGTTTGCCAGCATGTATTTCCTGGCGTTGAGTTCGACATCGGTGCAATTTTAGGTGGCGTGGGTGCGTTTTCCGGGGCAAGTATGGTCTTTAATTGGTGTGTGTCGCGCCTCTTACGTGGTGTGCGTTTCGTGTCCCGTTCATCCTCAGTTATTGTGATTCGCAGTGCGTGGCGCCCTGCATACACGTCACGTGTAAAATATAACCTGGAGATGTTGTAGTGCTGTTGTGCAAACGCTTCTCCTCGCGTGCTGTTCGGTAGGATTTCGTGGGGGTAATTTGAAATTTTTGACATTTTGAGAAGTGCCGTAAATATTCTCTGACTTGCCGTGGCGTGAGCTAGCCCGAGCTCGCTGTTACGAGTTTCGGGTAAGTCGTCTGAGGAGAAAATATAGAATCTGCCAATGGACATCAGTTGGGCGCCGCTGTCGCACAAGGCATGTGCCGTGTGTAAAAGCAAGTACGTGTATCAGCTTATGCGTAGACTTCTCTGCTGTTGGAATTCGCACGCAAAATAGGCCGCATTGTACAGCGGACCCCAGATTGGCAGACTCGGTTGTCGAATTTCATTGGCATTTACTCATCGACGATGTAAGGGTGTTGCGAGCTTATATCATGATTAAAATAGCTTGAAAAGGTCGTTTCAATTTGAGCAGTATGGTTACATTTCAATATTTATTCTCGGTTTGATGTTATATATATATTGGTTCCACCACATAAAACCGCAACTTCTCATGGCCTTCTCCCCACTCTTGCGCAAAAGTAGAAAAGCCTGCAACCGTATTCGGCCAAAGGGGAGGAGCCAGACTGAACGTGCCTCCCGCAAGGGCTCTGACTTCAATTAGAGCAGGAACCAGCAACTCCTCGGCCCCAGCTTCCAGTTTTACTATGTATACCGTGCCCCGCTTTGCCCCACATGAGCGGCGACGAAGCTCTGGGTGCTGAGGTGGCCGCCTAGAGGGTCAGTATTGGCAACCGGCAGCACTCTTGTTTGGCCTGGACTGGGCGACCTGTGCGGCTCCGTGTCGACTCCGCGCGCGGATAGTCGCTTTGCCAGGCGACGTCTTCGTGCTCTGTGACAACGAAAGGAAACCTGGGAATTTGTGGTTAGTGTTCACTTTGACACTTCGAAAGGGTCCTGTGCCAGTCGGGGCCCCCCTAGTTCCGCAGGAGGGGGGGGGGGCTCCATCCCGATTTCAGCCCGGGCGCATTGAGTCGAACGGGAGTCTATGTGGCAATTACTGGCCCACCTGCGGCGATCAGAGATATTGTTGCACCATTGAGGGTTCGCGCGTCAATCCGAAGAGAGCTGCGGGGATCAGAAGGCCTCCCGGGTCAGGGAGGTATATAACGTGATATGTTGAGTCCCCCTCCAAGGCCCTTCGGATCGACCAGGGGATCCCACCCCATGTCGCCAGAATGGCAGTTGCAAGCCACCCCACGGTGCGACGGAATGACTCTTCAGTGACTCCCCGCGGTGGGACGGAATGCCTCTTCAGCCCCGACCGGGAACAGAAATGTGCCCCTAGTGTTTTTCTCAAGGGAGACCCTTGCCGGAAAGAAATTAGGGGTCTCATTATTGAAAGGCAGGTAGTGTTAGATAGTGTTCTGGTAGAGTGGGTTGGATCGAGTCCAGAAACGGACCATGTTGAACCATGAAACATGGCCATCCCATGTTTGCCGGAGGACGTCCATTTTTTACAGAACTGATTTGTGAAACTATTCACATAAGAAGGTCTGAGCATGCGCGCCAGCAATCTCGGGAGCAAGGACAGCGATGGCCTGGGACAGCGATGGCCAAATGATGTTCAAGATGGTCATTTCAGTTCCAAATCTCATGCAAATGTGGAACACACCATTTGAAGGGACCACTGCCCTATCTTTAGTTGCAATGTTCAAAAACTGCGGTACGCTATCCTGGCTCCTCTAATGTCCCTCATTATGACTGCAACCTTTCTTATATGCTGAAATACTAGCTGCAGTTTTCGCCTTCCGATACATGGCTTCCGGTGTGGATCTTATGCGGGCGACGGTGCGATGGTCGTATTTTGCATCAGGGCAGTGTCCAAGAATAAGTCTAAAAGAGTGACAATATTTCGGTTATTTGAGAATTGTTCGAGTTCATAACCTGACGGTTCAGATCGGGATGTTCTGCTCGTGAGAAAAACTAAATGGCGCATTTCCACCAAAGTAGTGATCCGAGCAATAATTCGCTTGCTTGATGACGAACACTGCGGGCTACAGCTCTTCCCGCACGAAAGAAATTCGTTGGCTCGGACTAATCCATGTGTAGCACTGGGTTGGATTGGTAAGCTCCAAATAACATGGATTAGGATTAGATTGCATTTGTAGTATGACCATAAACATACATTACTACACATTGGAAAATGTAATACCAGTCTGAGAAACGGTAAGTAATATTGTTTCACAGGTCTGAATTTTTGGGTTAGATTACGCAATGCACGATTAGTGATGAGCGCTGCGCACTCACTTATAGCTAACGTCGTAGCATATTTTATGCAAACCAGACGTCACCACATCTGATTTTAAAAGCGTGAAGAAAACGGATTGATAGTTCACTGTGTTCATAATCGGCAATGCAGAGACCCAGTTCAATGCAATTTAGCTATGAACTCATTTTATGTCTAATGCGACAACCAAGCTTCGTAAGCCCCCTAGCTTCAGTAGGCACTTTTCCATCGGCTCCCATCAATCAGATATCAGCGCCTGGGGCGTGATCTCCCTGGGGCGGGCTCAAAGCTGCCCCACCTGCCGCCACGGGTTCGCGGGAGCCGCCTGCCGTTTGGTTCTACCGCCGAAAGGGATGGTACATCTCGCCCCGGGGCAGGGCATGACTCTGCGCCCAACCTTTCCAACGGACAACCTGTCTGGCTCTCTCCCGAAGGCGGGACACCCGCCGAAGGCACGCATGTTATGTTGCGCATTCCGTCACCAAGGAGGTGGCCAGGTCTCTCCCGCACGGGAGTCAAAAGTTGAAACGTTTGCCGTAAATATGCAAGTACTTGCGCATGCGTGACTAGCTGTAATTCAACGGGAGAAAGTTTCGCCGTCAGGCACATAACCTAAAACAATCCTCATATGATCACTGCATTGCAATCACTGGTTTGTGTAGTCGCTGAGCACGAGACCCGATTTACTTGTTAACAGTCATACGTTGACAGCATTTGGAGATTCAATGCATCTCAGTGAAGCACCTCAAAAAGAGAGGGTGTATTCGTAAGATCGATGATTTAAAAACGAAGATATCGCGTGACAAATAGGCTGACATTCACAACAGCTTTTGCCCATCTACATATACCTACATTTATATATATATATACACATTTTTATATATACTATATATATATACTATATATACAATGAACTATATATATATAGATAGATGGAAATATATATATATATATATATATATATATATATATATATACATATATACATATATATATATATATATATAAGTATATATATATACATATATATATATATATATATATATATATATATATATATATATATATATATATCTGCATGCAATATGTTCCTTGAAACTTTTATTACGCATTCCTCTTCAATAATTACGCATCTCTTGATTTCGCTGATCTTGCAGGATTACCTACGCATCTAACCTTTTGATGTCATGCCTCCTGTGCTTAAAGAGCGTACAGATAAAAGGTTGTCAATACCAGACATCAGTGGGTAGAGGAATATTTGAGCAAGACCTTGCTGGCTGCTTTGAACAGGAAAATGTCTGTCAAGAAATCGACAAACACATTTTCTGCACCCCGTGTGGCCCTCTTGTCGTGCGCTGCACGTGACGACAAACCAGTTGGGACGATGAAGAGTGCAGAGAGGGGAACTCTTGTGACCACAGGGATATGCCCCAGCACCGACGGCAGCCACGTCCCACCTGCGCTGGTATTTCCAAGAGCAAAGCTGGTCGGCCGGTTGATCAAAGGAGCACCCCCGCTACGCCATCCAGCAATGTGTTACCAAACGGGTGGATAAACACAGATGCATTCGCCAAGTGGCTCGGACATTTCATGCGATATACGGGTTGCGTCAAAGACAGAAAGGTTTGTTTGGAG